AAAATATGCAAATGAATTAAATATTAAACTTTCTACAGCTCTTACTGTCCCTTAGGACGTGACAACCCCACCCTGCTCACATAATGAGAGGCCAATACACAGTATTGGTGTTGTTCTCTCAGGGCACACCCCCAAATTGTTGAGCAGAACCCAATTTCTAAATCAAGTGCTACCTCTGTTGACAGAAAAGAGAAGTGCTCAGTAGTTCCTGGACAGAAACTTATCTGCTCAAAATTTTATAATAGTTTTTTTTTATTGCTGTTACAATAAATGGAAGAACAAACCAGAATTAATTTGAAGAGAGAAGTTCTACAGGAACTACAGATCAAAAAAAAAAAACAAACCCAACACCTAAACCCACCTACTGTGAAATGAGCAAACCCCAGCCCTGCTCATCTGAAGCACTGATTCCCCAGAGATGTTCCCAGGCAAAGAGAGGCAAAATCAACAGCCCTTCTGGACCAACACTCACTCCTTTTCCTAATTGGGAATTTTTTAAAGGGGAGTTTACTCCAAGATGGAAATATCTGTGACACACTCACGTATGAGACTCCTGATGGATCAATCATGTACAGCTGTGCACCATCATCACTGTCATAGGACCCCAACATGAAACTGGAGGAGAAAAGAGAAATTAAAGACATTTCTTCTGCCAACACACCCAGAACTACACAGACCACACCAGCCCAGGTTTCCTCCACTGCTCCTGGGGCAAAACTCCTGCTCCACTCTGTGGAGCAGCTGTTGAGTGTTCTCAGGACAGCAAGTTATCAGAAACATTTTAATGACCAGTACCTTGATCTGTTTATCAGTCCCTTTGTACTAAAACCACACAGTAATTGTAACCTGCTCTTTGGGTATCAGGATAAAACCAGGATGATTGCAGAGGGAAAGTTCTGCTTTTGCCATTGTCACAGACTTGACAGCACAAATTCTTCAGCTTTAAAACCCAGGAACAAACTGGCCATCTGCTCCAGGAATCTGAATTCTTCTCCTGAGGTTTTACACACGCAGGAAAAGAACGGAGAGGGGAATCTTTTTATGAGGTGAACTGTGGATTGCTAATTCCAATGGACAGGCAATGCCAGCAAAATTGTGAACCAAAAGACAGTTACAAAGCGTGTGTGTGGCACTCACCTGCAGCCAAAGGGTCTGACAGCACTGTACAGGGTGTAGGCGTGCACGTACATGGCCACTCTGTCCGCAAGGTGCTGTGTGGGAAGGGGGAAAACAAACACTGCAAACCCTCATTTACAGGACCCAAACCTCAAAGTGAGAACACTGAATTCTCATGTCAAGACTATAAGCCAAAAAAAAAGCACCTGAGATTTCCTTACCTTCAGAGGAATATCATAGCCATAGTTGGATCTGAAGTTGGAAGCCTCTTCCCTGGCGATGTCTGCCAAGGAGCGGGCGTCTGCCAGCAGCCCTGCCACTGCCTGCAGGGAGAATTCAATCAGCCAGGCCTGCCACACATTTCATCATCCTCACTGAAATTAATGACTAGCAGTGAATTCAGAAGTCATGTTCATCTGCCATCAAGCTCAAAAAGTGTCAATGTGGTTATACATCAACACAGATTAGTTTTTCTCCAGGAAAATCAACACCCATAGTTACCTTCGTGTTATCTTGTGATTTGCCATGGCTGCACTAACCCAAACAATATTTCATATCCTGTATATCCAACAGGTTTCACATTTATGTCACGCAGTAACCACCACATGGCATTATCCTGACATCACTGGGGTGGATTAGCCATCCATACACCAGTATTTAAAGAATTCAGGTAATTCCCACACTGGTGAGAAGAGAATCTCGAATGCAGCCCTCAGCACACCTTCTTTGTTAACTGCGTAGGAAACCACTTTAACACTTGTGTTGAGATTTTCATTCAACTGGAATGCTGAAAAGCATTTCAAAAAAAGTTAAAACAGCCTCAAAATATGTCCATCTTCTGTAATAAATCTGGCTTTTATTTGTGCATGTTTGTGAGCAATCGAGAATAAATTCCAGAAAACAGTAAAAAGCCCACTGGCATTTTCTGCACACAGAAACATTAGCATTAATTTCTGAATCTACTTATTATTGACCCTCTGATTGATAAGATTTCTCCTTTTGAGGGGGGTCCCTCGGAATTTAGGGAAACCCAAAATGAAGCGGCCCCTTACCATCCCAACGTGTCGGTCGACATTGAAGAGCCGTTTGTTGGAACCCTCCTCGTAAAGCTTGGACAGGACTAGTTTTTCTACTCCAAAGACAACACCATCTTTGCACCTTATCCCAATTGCTGTACTGGAAGACAAGATAAATGTCAGTTCCTCACAGAGAACCACAGTGGAAAATAAATAACAGAGAATTAACGAGATACCACAAACAATCAGGTGATTCCCACGGAAGTACATTTGTTATAACTCCACTTGAGCACTGAGGAAAAAAAGCCAAAGTTCACTAAACCTACAAACATTTTCTCAGACAAAGGAGGTGGGGGCTGCCAAAAGTCCTAACCCGAAGATTTCTGAACAGAGGACATGCAGTGGGGGAATTGTTTGGAGCAAGGGCCGAGCCACTGCCACGCTCAGCTGAGCGACACTGGAGTGAAATTCACGGACTGGTTAACCTCTCCTTTTGGCAAATTCCCTGCTGATCTAGGAGATGGGACAACTCTAACCCTCAAAAAGTACCTCATCAGGCATAAACCACCAACCATGGCACCCACAAAACACCTGGCTGACCAAGGAACAGGCTGTTTGCAACACATGGCCCAGAGAAGCTGTGGCTGCCCCATCCCTGGAAGTGTTCCAGGCCAGGTTGGATGGGGCTTGGAGCAACCTGGGATAGTGGAACACCATCATCTTTCTGTAGTCCAACGACACTGCTTTAAAAGAGCCCAGCAAACAAGACAGAGGTGCAGATATTTGTATCTTACCTGCTGTTCTCCACTGCTTTCATAGCATATTCCACCTGAAAGACTCTGCCATCTGGAGAAAACGTGGAAGCTGACAGGTCGTACTGGAGGAGAAAACACAATGCTCAGGGAAAAAAAACCAAACACATCATATCCCGGTGTTTAAAGATCAAGTCAGCTTATTGAAAAATGCTGTGCAGTCCCAGGAGCAGGGTGGGTCTTATAAGACAGAAGAAAACAGACACTAAAAGCCAGGAAAGGCCATTTCATCAGTGCTGGATGAAACTGCAAATCGCATCAATCCAGATGCTGAAGGGGGCTGAAATCACTGTGCATTACACAACATCTCAGACTTACAGGAACTTTCTGTCCGCCTTCACATTCTACAGAATCCGAGACTGGTTTGGGTTAGAGGAGATGTTAAAGGCCATCTCTGCCATGGGCAGGGACACCTTCCACTATCCCAGGTTGCTCCAAGCCCCGTCCAACCCGGCCCTGAACACTTCCAGGGATGGGGCAGCCCCAGCTTCTCTGGGCAACCTGTGTCAGGGCCTCCCCATCCTCAAAGCCAAGAATTTCTTCCCAATATCCAACCTAAATTCAGATTCCAATTCCCAACCTCTTCCCCTCTGCTCCCATCACTCCTTGTCCTCTCACCACAACCCCCAACCAGGAGCCCCTCTCCGGCCTCCCTGCAGGCCCCGCTTTCTTTCACAATTCCTGGTGGCAGGACCACGTTTGAAATGCACAAGAGTACACTCTGCAGAGAAGTACAATCAGTGTTTTACCCCCGCCCCGCCCCCGCCGCCGCTTCCCGGGGCCTCCCGGGCCGCAGTGACTCAGCCCTCCCGCAGAGCCCCGCGGCCGCCCCCCGCACCCTCACCCCGGCGCCGCGCGGCCCTGGGGGCGATGGGGGTGGGACGATCCCGGGGATATCCCGCTATCCCGGGGCGATCCCGCTATCCCGGGGCGGTCCCGGCGCACTCACCCCGGTGCCGATGGAGCTCATGGCGGCGCCGCTCCCAGCCCGGCCCGGCCCGCGCGCACCGCGCAGCAACGCGCGCGCGCATTGGGCGCCCGGCGGCCGCCCCCGGGGTGACGTCACGCGCCGTGCGCTGAAGGGCCGCCCCGTGGAGGGCTCAGTCAGCGCCCGGCTAGCTCAGTCGGTAGAGCATGGGACTCTTAATCCCAGGGTCGTGGGTTCGAGCCCCACGTTGGGCGCATGTATTTTGTGCCCCCCCCCCAAATCCTTCTCCTCCGATTCCCTCCTGGAGCGCTCGCGGCGGGAAAATCCCTCCTCGTCACCACCGTGGCCACGAGGGAGGTTCCAGCGCTGCCTCGCGTTTGGGAGCATCAGTTTTGCGCCCCTCACCCTTCGGGAGGCGTTCCGGTGGGCAAACGGCCTCCCGCCGTCCCTGAGGGGGATTCACCGCCCGCTCCCCGCTGGGCGCGTCATTTTTGTGCCCCTCGCCCTTCAGGAGCGCTCCCGGCGGGAAAAATGCCGCCTCACCGCCCTCTGCCAACATCCCTGAGGGGGATTCACCGCCTGCTCCAGGTTGGGAGCTTCACTTTTGTTCCACTCGCTCCTCTGGAGCGCTCCCGGCCGGAAAATGCCGGCTCGGCACCCCCTCCCACCATCCCTGAGGGGGATTCACCGCCCGCGCCCCGGAGAACCGGGAGGCTCCTGAGGGAATCCCGCAGATAGAACCTGAGGAAGTGATTAATACACTGTTATCCCTGAGAAAATTAGTTTTTATAAGTGAGCTGGGTGCAGCAGTGATGCGTACATAGTAAAGTAGGAGCTGGGGTAATCTTGGCACTGAAAGCTGCATGCCTGAAAAAAGTTGCTT